TGGAGAATGCTAGTCGGTGGTCTATATTCCATTGGGGGTAACAGCTGTAAGTAAGTTATATTTTGTATATTTGATTCATCAGTGATTAATGGCCAATATCATGTTTTTCTTAGTGGTAATCGCTTCACTTAAACTAGTAGCTAAATTACAACTTCGTCCATAGAATTCTATTAACACTAAGGTTTAGACAAATACGAAATTGGTCACTACTCAGTGACTAGTCAGTGTAACTATTCCATTTATAAGAAAGCGTTCAAAAGTTCTTACTTCTAAACCTTGGACAAACATCAATGAGTCATCCAATACTAGAATGAGATAGCTGCTGAGTATATTGTAGTTTTTAACAGTTGTCTAACTAATATCAGTCCGTGATGTGAAACCACAAGTTATAATGTGTTAGACGGATAGCTTTTTGCGGGGTGATGATACACGTACGCTAGTAATGATAATTGTTTAAAAATTAGTTGGCACACGACGAAACAAATCAAATGGTTAATTAAATGATGTATTTATAATTGATTGATCACTGGATGGTGATTAATGTCATGTATATCAAGTCCTTCTTAGTGCAGATCAAATCTTATCGATCAAGTTGTAATGTGGCCACTAGTCTAAGTGACTGGACATTGCGTTCACTATGTTGAGATGAGATAGTGGTTGGAGTTAGTGAACAGGAAACCCTAGACCTGGGTTTCGTGCTATTTAACACTCATTAGAAAGATGTACCTGTTATATTGTGGGAACCGATGATCGCTGACGGATTCGATCTTGTGTCACCTAATTTCACAGTCAGAAACGTTAACACCGAGCTATTTGGGTCGCAGCTGTCCTCCTGTAGGACTGAGATGTAATCAAAATTGATTGGTCACTGAATGGTGATCAATGTCATATGTATCAAATCCAAATAACACGAAACCTGATTCCAGAATTTTCCTATTACTACTTCTAACTGTAATCTTAAATAGTATATTATCATCAGATGGGTTTTGTGGATATTATAGTAATTTCAGTGGTTAAGATCATGAATCAGTTGAAGCTAAACCACCACGGAAAACCTGGAAGCACTGGACGGCCGTTTCGTCCTATTGTTGTGGTCTAGCTTCATCTGATTCATGATCTTAACCATTGAAAATATTATAATATCCACAAAACCCATCTGATATTAATCAACAAATGCTCACTAGTGACTGGATTCAAGAGATATATCCTGGAGTCCTAGTGAGAAGTAGTGACCAGTGGTGTTCAACCAGGCCTGTTGTGAGATATTAACTCACTGTAGACTAGGGTGTATGTGTCACTCAATTTCGTGGATTACTTGAAGTTAGATATTAACATTGTTGGATGCCGGTTCAGTGGTCTAATTGTTAAGTGTTCGCGCGTGAGACTGATAAGTTCTGGGTTCGCATCTCGCAGGGGGTGAGGTCGTGGATGAGTACTGCTGAGGAATTCCACAATATGATGAAACGACGGTCCAATGCTTCCAGGTTTTCAATGGTCGTCTAACATCAATCAATTCATGATCTCAATCAAAAACTTAATAATCTCTACAACCCCTATACTGATGTAATAAATAACTTACAAAAGGATTTGATTGATAATATTTGAAATTAACCCAATACTATCAATGAACAGAATGTTTAAAAGGGATTAATGTACAATATACATGTAACTTAAACATATAAATGTAATTAGGAATTCAATTGCTAACAACTTCATTTATTGTTTATAGTATGGTTATGGATATATATGGTATGGATTATACTACTTATAACAACAATTTAAATAAGTTACCAGGTTTAATAATCGGATTAATTAGAGAACATGTCAACAATCCCTTTAAACATTTTCTAATGATGATGATGATGATGATAAAGATGATCAATTATTACATATGCTGGTATTGTTCATTATTGATTATATTGAATTCATGTTACAATATAGAATTCATCTGTAATCTAATTATTTCATATTAGAAGGGATTTTGTGGATATTATAGTAATTTTAATAGTTGAGATCATGAGTCGATTGAAGCTAGACCACTATGGAAAACTTGGAAGCACTGAACGAACGTTTTTTCCTGATATGGGACTACTACTCAGTAGTGCTCATCAATGACCCCGCCGTGTGAGATTCCAATCCAGGACCTATCGGTGTCGCGTGCGAACGCTTAACGTGTAGACCACTGAGTTGACCGGTATCCAACGGTGTTAATGTTTAACTTCAACTAATCCACGAAATTGAGCGACACATCCACTATTTTCTTCAGTGAGCTATTTCATAACAGACCTCGTAGAACTCCACTTGTCACTGCTTCTCACAAGAATTCCAGGATATACCTCTTGATTCCAGTCACTAATGAGCATATGTTGATTCACATCAGAGGGGTTTTGTGGAGATTGTAGTAATTTCAGTAGTTGAGATTATGAGTCGATTGAAGCTAGACCACAATGGAAAACCTCTAAGCACTGCACGAACAATTCGTTCTAGTATGGGACTCTTCAACAGTGCACATCCACGATCCTGCCTCACGAGATTAGAACCCTGGACATATCAGACGGTAGATTAGATCTCTCTATCAAAAAGTGTAACGAATTACTTAAATAATCGATTTCTTATCTTCGATCGCTTTTTCTGGTTATTATTTGTATCACTTTTCTAGTTTATAACCAAACTATCATCAATTAAACGTATTATTCTAAAGCTGTGATTATATTAGTTGATTTCTCTTAGTTGAACTATGTTTATTGTGAACAGCATTAATCATCTTTCGAGGATAGTATCATTCGGACTATCTTATCAGAAAATAAGGTGAGACCATAATTTATGGATAAACCAAACAGATTTAGGGATAACATGTCTCGGATTTTCGCACGGAATTCACTCATCCATTTGGCTAAGTAAACTTTTGACATTATAGCTAATGTTAGTTCGTGATGGGAAACCGTAAATCTAATTCCTAATCTTAATCATCAAATATGAACGATAATCCATATTCTGGTTATTAGGTGGACACTCTGAAGGACAGTCTAGAGTCGCTCGAAGGTAGTCCATAAATTATGGTTTCACCTAAGACTAAAAGAAGAGAGAATCCATGAAACAGGAAGAAGAAGAAGAAGAAGAAGAAACGAGAACCTGTGATGTTGAGGCATGAAGAAAGACACTTGAACTTCAAACCATTGAGTTGATAACCAATTATGTATATTCCTAATTCCATTCAATTAATGATATTACTCCATTATCAATCATTGTAATTGATGATATTTATCTGACAGTCAACATGGTTAAAATCCGTTGACCACTGTTCTCATTAGACTTCAAGGATGAGTTATTTTGTTTGATTGTGTTAGTATCTTCATTTAACCATCTTGAATGTTACATCAGTTCTCTCTGTTTGTTCTTTTGGCCCGACCGTAGATTCTGCCTTGACGTGGTGGTCAAACTTGCATATCATGTTGACCCAAACGAGTTATATTGGCTGGAACATACGTTCCTGTAGGTTCTATCATGCCACGCAGGTCGATTGGAGAACGGTAAGACTAAAAGCAGCAACTCAAGGTCTGAGGGCGAAGTCGTACTGCTGAATGTAGAGAGATGTGACAACAGTAAGGTGTTTCTCTCCGACAACCAGCATCTGCAGCGATGCTCCCTTCTTACAAGAGAGGAAGGCGTTAGAAAATGTGGACTCTAAAAATGTCACGTGGCACCTTACCCCTCGGATTTCCATCTCCGGCTGTAAGGCCTTTTGAAGAACGGGGTTAGGGGCGACCAGACCAGAATATTTCACAAATCCATAAAGTCGCTGACATGTGGACTGAGCCATGTTGGTAGGTGTAGACTACCTGGTTGTGATCCACGATATGATAGCAACCGATGGTTAAAGACTTTGAATGACGTGGCTTAAAATCATTTTCAACGGCACAGGTGCATCAACTCTTTGTGTTCTCCCAAATTCTAATCTTCCAAATTCTTCCTATCAATTTCTTTTGTTTCTCTTTCGAAATTTATTTCACTGTATTATACTCCATAAATAACATCTTCAAACCCTAATCTTTCCGATTACTGCTTATACTCTTACTACCTCTATCACTATGGGATTTGAATTGACAGTTGTATCTCTGTGCTAATATGGTATAACAACTCGAATTGATGTAGGTACGTACGCACGTACGAAGTTCTACGTTGTTGACTGATTTTTTGGTGAGACTATAATTTATAGGTGGACCAATCACGTCTAAGATCATAAGTGTCGGATTTTGGAATGAAATTTACTCATCCATTTGCCTAAATAAAGTTTTGGGCATTATAGCCGATGTCAGTTCATGATGAAAACCTTCACCATCAACTATAAACCATAATTCTAATTTGTCACACACTAATTGATAACCCTCATTTAGTCTTAGTTATTAAGTGGACACTTTCAAGGTCACTTTACAGTTACTCATTGGTTATTCATAATTAATCAATATTTCACATTCAATTCATGTACTACTTATAAGTAGTGGAAGTACACTTGATAATCTAATCCATTTTGTTGCATCATTCATAAACAAGAGATTGATACAATTTCATAAATATATTTTTTATTATTAATTATTATTACTATCATATATATATATTTTTTTTATTATATACAAAGGGGCTATGTGTATTCTAATAAATGAATGAATGGATGAATGAATGAACATGTAACATAATGTTTGGTTAACATGGTTTGTTTGTTTTTTCTAGAAAGAAAAATGTTTTTCATTTGAGTAAATTAGAAACGTATGAATAAGATTTATACAAATAGTCTGTAATATGCATAGATAGATAGATAGATAGATAGATGGATAGATAGATTGATAGATAGATAGATAGATAGATAGATAGATAGATAGATAGATAGATAGATAGATAGATAGATAGATAGATAGATAGATAGATAGATAGATAGATAGATAGATAGATAGATAAATAGATAGATAGATAGATAGATAGATGTGTGGATAGATAGATAGATAGATAGATAGATAGATAGATCTATTTCTATTTAGTAATGCTAAGTTGAAGGGAATATCTTTTAATGATTATGTCACATTATTATAAGATAATGTTCATTACATAACAACTAATCATAACATTGTTTATTATCTATTCGACTGATGGTCAATGTTACTTTACCAAATAGGAATGATACAAGAATACTGTATCCATTATATATATATATATATATGTAGAATAGACAAGATTCAACATGATTATATAGAGAAGTATAAAGAGGAACGAAAATTGAAAAAAAAGAAAGAAAGAAGTGATCATTGAACAAACAAACAAATAAATAAATAATTACAATTGAATTCTTCTCGTTTGTTTATTTTTCTCTTTTTTTCCCCATATTTTCTTTTTCTCTTCTTTTTTTATAGAAAAATGCTTTCCAATAGAGAATTTATACTTTTGATTTTACATTCTCATTTGTAATTCTATTGAATTCTTTTGTTTCTATGCAAAGTAATATCTTTTTTCATTTATAAGAAGAAAAAAAAGAAAAAGAGAATCAATATATGTATTTATGCATCTTTGGCATGTTGGTATGATGCTATATCCCCCTCTCTCTTCTTCCCTCCCTCTCTCTCTCTCTGTGTTGTTGTGAGTGTTTATTGATTTCATATAGGGGAGGGGGTATAAATATCTATATTAAAAAAATTTTTTTACTCAGCTGTACAATAATCAAAATGTCTACAATCAATGAAATCCTTTACACCCAATTTTTTTCGTGTAACAACAAATAAGGAATTCTTGATTATATGAAATAAGAAAAGTAAATGAACAATGGGAATGTACTTTTTGTTGTTGGTGGTGGTGATGGTTAATTCTTTTGTACATTGGAAGATGATTCATTTAAAAGATCTCGATTACCAGTATAATTAGTTATATTACCTAATTCAGTAATATTAGGTAATATTCTATGATTAGTAAAATAATGTTGTTGTTGGTTATGATGATGTTGTTGAGCATCAAGACGTTCCAACCATGATGTAGATGATGATGTATTACGACTGACATGAAATTGTGATGTTATATTATTGTTATTACTTCGATTATGGGCATCAAATTGTAGACCAGATGTATAAGATGTATTCATATCATTTCTTCCAACATCCACTGGATCACATTCATTTCGATAAAGTGTTGACCATGCAGATGAAACAGATCGTTGTGTAGTATTTTGTGAGTTATTATTATTATAATTATTACTATTATTAATGTTTTTATTTAACCAATCTGTATGTTGTGTACTATTTAAGTGTTGAGGCAACAACTGCTGTGAATGTTGGTGATGATGTTGCGATTGTTGTTGTTGTTGTTGTTGTTGTTGTTGTTGTTGTTGTTGTTGTTGTGAATGAGGATGTTGAAGATGATGATGATGATGTTGATCCATGCCTGATGTTGTATTTCCACTATTACCATAATATGCTAATTGAGATGCTGCATAATTTGCCGCTGCTACAGCTGCCATCATAGCAGCTGCTGCACTATGAGGATTACCACTTGTAACTGATGATGACGATGATGTTGATGATGTAACACGGGGGAAATTACTACCGTTATTATTATTATTATTACTATTAGTAGTAGTAGTATTATTGATATTATTCATAATTGGTGTGCTAGATCCACTTCGTCCAATTGAAAATGGTGGTGGTGAATCTAAACTTGATCCCCCTGTTTGATTTGATCTAATTGTTGATTGATTAAGAAATGATCTTTGTTCATTTATTCTCATAGAATTAATCATATTACCATTATTTGAATAAAACATTGACCATGGTGTATTACTTAAACGTTGCATAATTGTCATAGAATTTGAATGATTCATATCTGTATTATGTTCAATATTTGTATCATTTACAGCTGCAGCGGCTAAAGCTGCTGCAGCTACTGCTGAAAATGGACTAGACATATCAGTTGGTAATAACTGTTGACTGACACTATTGTTATTCATTGGAATAGATGATGTATTACGTAAAAACTCTAAAGATTTATCATCATTTCTATTATATTGATTCATTGATAAATTTTGTTCGGATCCATAAATTGGTTCTTGTCTTAATAATGATCTAGAATAATTATCACTATTACTATTACTACTATTATTATTATTATGGACAGTAGTAGTATCTCTATATTGTCCAGAAATCTGTCGATTAGCATATAATGATTGTGAATGAAATGATGTATGCTGGTCATATTGCGTTGTTGCCGTTGTCGATGATGTCGTCATCGTCGTCGTCGTCGTCGTCGTTGATGATGATGATAATGATGACAATGAAGCATTTGTATCAGATCCAAATAATGTTTGTCTTAAACTAATATCTTTATCATTTTGATGAAATTCATTTGTATAATATGGCATCATCATCATATTAGATTGTAAATAGTTTGTTGAAAGATTATGTGATTGATAATCAATTGGTCGTTGTTGGGATTCAATTAATGAAGGGTTATTATTATTAGTAGTATTAGTAGTAGTATTTACTAAACCAGTAATTTGATGCGGTAAATAATTTGTCAATGGATTTATTGTTGATGAATATGAATGTGATGAATTAAAACGTGGATTAGATGAATTAAATAATCCATGTAAATGATGATGATGATGTTCATGTTTATGAATATGTTGATTAAATTGATTATGACATTGTAATGATGATGATGATGAGGATGATGATGATGATGATGTAATTAATGGATCAAATATATTAGGAATATTACGATTTGAATGAGTTAAGGGTACATTTCCAATACCATGGATACTATGATTACGTAATCCTGATGTTGTATTATTCAAGTAACCACCTATTACTGTACCAGGTAATGTGGATGTAGTCTTTTTTTGTCTTTCTAATGGTTTATGTTTACGTCTTGGTCTATATTTATAATCAGGATATTGTGCCATATGATTTGCTCTTAAACGTTTTGCTTCATCAATAAATGGTTTTTTATCTGTTTCACATAAATTTTTCCACATTGAACCAAGACGTTTACTTATTTCTGAATTATGCATTTTAGGATTTTCTTGTGCCATACGTCTACGTTGACCACGTGACCATACCATAAATGCATTCATTGGACGTTTAACACGATCTTCTTTTCTATGATTATGAGTAGTAGTATTATTAGTAGTATTATTATTATAAGTTGTTGTTGTTGTTGTTGTGACATTTGTTAATGATGATGTCAAGTCGGAATCATTCTAAATATAAAAAAATGGAATGATAAGTTACTGTGAACAAAGATTGTTGAGAGTAGATTGAGATCATGAATAGATCAATGTTACACTGTTTTATCTTTGTATAGAACTTTTCAACAGTATACATTCACGATCCAACTCACGAGATTCGAATCCAGGATGTTTACATGGATGTGCACTGTTGATATGTGTTCTACTACGATTGAAAACTTTACAAGTATTAGACGTCTGTTTTCATCTTTGTATGAGACTTCTTAACAGCACGCATTCATCATCCATCTCGTGGGATTCAAACTCAATTTGGGTACTGTTCACCAGTTTCATTCTATGATGAAATGATCGTTTAGTGTTTCCAAGTTTTCAATAATGATCCAACAACAATCGATTTATGATCTCGATCAAAATATATATATATATATATATATATATATATATATATATATATATATATTTGGCACAAATCAATTCATCATTCAATAAAACAATCATAAGATGATTATCTGTACTATAAATGACTAAGATATAACCAAGTATATCATTTACCTGTCCTGATTATTATTGATGAATACCTATCAAAAATTGTAATTGAAATAATATTTTATACATAAATCATTTAAATTGACCTCAAATAAAGATTGACAAGTAGTTAGTGCTTTTATAAAGAAAGAAAAAAGAAAAGAATCGAATAATAAGAAAAAAATACTCGATTCTTTAATGGTGAATGATTGAATAGAGTGTAGTATATAAATATATATACGTTTTTAAAAGCCCCCAAATGCCCTGGTACGGCCGAGAGTGAGAAGAGTTGGCTGTCCCTCTCGAAATGCTCTCACATGGCGACGTGCATATAACCACTACAAGGGAAGTCCTACTCACTACCTTCTCAAGGCATTACTGTTGTTTACGAAATCGAAACGACGAAAAGCGAATATTTGGCTCTTTAGCTGGGTTGATGGATACAGAGAGTCCACCTACAGGAGTTGACCGAGAGGTTCTGTGGCAGTGTCTGTCATTGAAAGGCGTACCTCAGAAGTACATAAACCTTGTGAAAGCTCTTTACTCGAACACTACTAGTCGAGTGAGAGCTTATGGCGAACTGTCATCTGCTTTCGCAACCTCAAGTGGCCCCCGCCAAGGCTGTCCACTTTCTCCATTTTTGTTCAATTTCATCATAGACCTCCTGATGGAAATAACGCTCTCATCGACTGAATTCTCAGGTATTGATCTCCTACCAGGAGGTCCACTTATTGACTTAGAATACGCAGATGACATAGTCCTGTTTGGTGAAGACGCTGATGAAATGCAGAGTCTTTTGGTAGCACTGAGCAACAATTCCGGAATGTTTGGGATGCGCTTCTCTCCCTCCAAATGCAAGTTGTTGCTTCAGGACTGGTCTGCGTCAACACCTGAACTAAGGATAGGGGGTGAAGTAGTCGAACGTGTTGACAACTTCACTTATCTTGGAAGTCTGATCAGCCCTAATGGGTTGGTGTCTGACGAAATCTCAGCACGGATTCGAAAAGCTCGTTTGGCTTTCGTCAACTTACGTCACCTATGGCGAAGGCGAGATATCCGTCTATCAATAAAAGGACGAGTATACTGAGCTGCAGTTCGTTCCGTTCTACTATACGGCTGCGAAACTTGGCCTTTAAGAGTAGAAGATATTCGTAAGTTACCAGTATTTGACCACAGGTGCCTTAGAAATATTGCGGGTATCTGCTGGGATCACCGGGTAAGTAATAGTGAGGTTAGACACAGGGTATTAGGGAATGATGGTAAATCAGTTCATGAGGTTATGAACCTTCATCGACTGAGATGGTTGGGCCACGTGCTGCGTATGCCTGAACACCGATTACCACGACGCGCAATGCTAACCGGTGTTAGGGATGACTGGAAGAAAGTTAGGGGCGGCCAAACCAAAACGTGGCATCAGTGCTTGAAGTCACTAACTTCTGGTCTGAGCCATGTTGGTAGATGCAGACTACCTGGTTGGGGTCCGCGTGACTATCGTAACCAATGGTCGGAGACTCTTGGTGACATGACTCAGAATCGATCACAATGGCGTCGGTGTTTACACTCTCTGTCTTCCTTTAAACTAAGAGATTAAAATCACTTCAAATCTTTCTACGAACTAATTCTTTCTTCTTGTACTATGTCCTTATATGCAATCTTTCTTCTATATATTACCACCACTGAATTAACTACTTCTATGAATCCGGTGTTCATCTTGTTGTGCTAATGCGGTATGGCAACTTGGACCGATGCATATACGTGCCTGGTCCTACGTTGCAGCTGACTGACTGACTAACTGACTGACTGACCTACAGGAGTTGGAAAACCCTCATTCCAAATCAATGATGCACATGGGCTCTAGTATCCTGATGGAACAAATGGCGTGTGAACTATGGGACTGTACCTTCTTACGAAGCTCCACTGCCTTGTGGATCAGACCTTCAGGTCGAAGGCTCCGAGTGTGGCTCAGTAAGAACACCACCTGCTTCGGTTTGGGCACCGGGGCATTATCACAGCCCTCACACAAATCAAATGAGATTTATGTGGCGCATATGTATTTGGTGCCTCCTTGTACCAATATCTGTGTGTTCAAAAAATAATAATGTATTTTTAGAAATGTTACACAGTAACTATAACATTGATGAACTCATTATTTTCATGATTGATTGATCATTGGATGGTGGTAATCCGTGTCATACGTGTTAAGTCGTTCTTAGTACGGACTGAATTCTATCGATCAAGTTGTAATGTGACCTACTAGTCTAGGTGACACGACATCGCGTGTACTTTGTTGAGATGAGATGAAGGTTGGAGGTAGTTAACAGGAAACCCTGAACCTCTTCATATTACTTGGAACTTGTCAGCAAGGTGTATCTATTATTTTGAGAGAATTGATACTTCCTGACGGATTCAATCCCGTGTCACCCGGCTTCACAGTCACAGATATTATCACCACTCAGTGATCAGTCGATTTTAAATACATTTCAGTCCTACAGGAAATCAGTCGCGGTTCGGATAGCTCAGTGGTAACGTTTCTGATTGTGAAGTTGGATGACACGGGATCGAATCGGTTAAAGAGCATCAGTTCCATCAAGATTATAGGTACACCTTGTTGACGAGTGCTAAATAGCACGAAACCTGGTTCTAGAGTTTCCCGTTGATTACCTCCAACCACCTTCTTAACTCATTATCTATTTATCAACTATCAGTTTTCATGTAGATCATTGGAACATGTTAACTAATATATCAGAGTTTTATTAAAGTTATATATTAATCTATGTTAAACAATCGTTGAAAATCTAAAAAGACTGGATGACCGTTTTGTTCTGGTATAATTTATGTTGTAAGCAGTTATAATGAGATATAAGTACATCCAACTTATGAGTCTGTACAGCAGATCAACTATAACAGATACAAACTTATACGCAGAGAAACTAACGTACGCTCATGAATATAACACATACAAACAATCATATATCAGTTGAATTACTTTTGAACATTACATTATCAGTTTGAGGTTGTAGAGATTGCTAAGTTTTTGACTGAGATCATGAATCGATAGTTTTTAGACCACCACTGAAATCCGGTGGAGCTAATTTGTGTCAGTTAGTAACAGGTATCTACCCCAGCCCCTTTGTACCAATGTTTATATATTTAAATTATTAAATAGATAAAATACACGGAGGCATTAAATAGGTATGTGCCACATAAATCGATCGATTTGTGTGAGGGCTGGAATATTTCTCGGGTGCCTAAACCGAAGCAGGTAGTTTTCGTAGGGGGCCACACCCGGAGCCTTCCACATTAACGTCTGATCCACAAGACAGTAGAACAACGTCAGGAGATGCAGTCACATGGTAGCCAGTGACCAACGATTGGTTCATACACCATTTTTTCCCTCAGGATACTGGAGCCCATGTGTACCAGGGTTTATCAACTGCCCTAGGTGGATCCTCCGTATCCACCAACCCGGTTAAAGTGACGGACATTCGCTTTTCGTCATCCCAATTTCGTAAACAACAGTAATGCCTTGAGAAGGTAGTAAGTATGACTTCCCTTTTAGTGGTTTTATGCACGTCGCCATGTGAGAGCATTTCTAGCGGGAGAGCTATCTTTCTCTACTCTCGGCCATACTAGAGCATTTTGAGGATATAAGAAATACCTATAAGTTCTATGATAACAAACAAATTGAACCGAAAAATGATAAACAAGGAAAAAGAATAATAGTCACATCTAAACCAATATGTTTTATTTCGATCTATATTTACATGTATATAAGGCTTTGTGTATGTCGCTATATATATATATATATATATATATATATATATATATATATATATATATATATATATATATATATATATATATATATATATATATATATGTACAATTAGAATATAGTGTTTCAATCAAATTATAAAGCCATATATCTTACCAATTATACATATAATAATCTAGATTTCCATTTGTTTCATATTTTATTTTCTAATTAGCCTAATTCATTGAGAAGTGCCTCAATTCATATAAATATGCACTTATAGGGTAACATACACTACTTATTTTACTGGTAGTAGTAGTAGTAGTGGTAGTAGTAGTAGTGGTAGTAGTAGTAGTAGTGGTAGTAGTAGTAGTAGTAGTAGTAGTAGTGGTAGTAGTAGTAGTGATAGTAGTAGTAGTGGTAGTAGTACTAGTGATAGTAGTAGTAGTTGTGGTAGTAGTAGTAGTGGTAGTAGTAGTAGTAGTGGTAGTAGTAGTAGTAGTAGTAGTAGTAGTGGTAGTGGTAGTAGTAGTAGTAGTAGTAGTAGTAGTAGTAGTAGTAGTGGTAGTAGTAGTAGTTAGATCAATGTAATCTGATATTGTTAACCTTAGTCTGAAAGTTAGTAACTAGGTTTTCTTCATTTAATTACTCTTTACCATGTACATACACATACATACAAACACTTTATCTTATCAATTTTATTATATTTTTTGTCTTGATAGATGTGGGTTTTCTACGTCGAAATTTAACTAGTCCTAGTAGAATGCGGGTATTCGACTGAATGATTGACTGACTAATGTAAGTTTACTGATTGATGGAATAACTGATGAATAGATTGAAAGACCTATGACCTATAAACGATTGTTCTTGTTCATCATATACAGAATCCCATTAGACTATAACTATGATAAACTGTGTCAACTTATGCTATAGCACACATAGGTATACAGTTGTTATACAGCATATTTATTATCATGAGTATATTCTTGGGTCAACTTATTCATTCATTCACTTGCTTTCACTTAACCAAAATATGTACACATATATTTAAGCTTATAGGTCATGTCTATTGTAACTATCAAATCTGATCTTCTTTCTTCATGTTATGTTAAATTTTAAGTACATTAAGGTCAATATAAAAGTGTAAATCAATGCTTATGAGATTATCAATATGAAGTTGTGGAGATTGATTTCCGACTACCATTGAAAACTTGGAACCACTGGACGACCATTTTGTCCTAGTGCGAGACTCCTCAGCATTGCGCATCCACGATCTCGCTCATGAGTTTCGGACTCGAAGCCTTCGTTTTTCCGCACTGACGCTTAACCTCTAGACCACTGAACAGGTATCGAAGTTGTCATAACCCAACGAGAATTATCAGTGATAACTTTTGAGAACTATTTATGCACCAGTATAGGGTTATGAAGATTGTTGAGTTCTGATTGAGATCATAAATCAAACATTGAAAACCTAGAAGCACTCGACGACCGCTTCGTCCTATTATAAGATACCTGAGCAGTACGCACCAATTACCCCATACGCGAGACTCGAACTCAGGATCTTTGTTTTTGCACACCAACTCTTAACCTCTAGACCATTAAGCCAATATCCATCGGTATTAATGTATGACTTCAATCGATTCATGATCTTGCTCAACTCTTCATTGTCTGATGTGAATAACTGTCTCCACCCGACATGTGTTAGACTTTCCCGATGGATGCATACCGCTGAGGAGTCCCATATTAGGACGAAACAGTCATCCAGTACTTCCACGTTTTCAGTGTTGGTCTAGTTTAGATTGGCTCGTGAATTTAACTACTAAAATTACTATTAATTAGTTAGTATTAGTTTGTAGTTACAATTATCATCATTATCAGAAGGGGTTTTGTGGAGATTGTAGTAATTTCAATAGTTGACATCATGAGTCAATTGAAGCTAGACCACGATGGAAAACCTGGAAGCGATGGATGGCCGTTCCGTGGGCGGAATCGCGGATACGCACTGCTGAGGAGTCCCACAGTAAGGCGAACCGATCGTCCAGTGCTTCCAGGTTTTCCATGGTAGTCTAGCTTCAATGGACTTATGATTTCAACTATTGAAATTATCATTATTGTTATTCATACATCGATCAGTTAGTTCTTCTTTTTAAGTCAATATATCAGTCAGATTGAAGATATTTCTAAATTCGCTTTCTGAAGTTTTCCATCGTATAGCTACAACAACAACAAAAAGAAGTCTAAATAAACGTAGACAAACGACCTAATTAACCAGCAAAACTTTAATGTTACTTTCATTAATCATACTTTTATTCTTTTGTAAACTATTTCATAAGATAAGCAAAATAAGAATGTTATTTTTTTAAAACATTTGATTATTTTATAAGTAAAGATGGAATCCAGGATGTGTGTTTCGTCGTTTTTGGGATTCATCAGCTGGATGTACCTGCATACCAGAGTTAATGTTCATTCGGAGATAACGCGATGGCTTTTGAAGCGAACGGTACTGAGTTCGAGTCCCAGAGTGAACATCATATCTAAGATGTAAGTACATCCAGCTGACGAGTCCCAAATAAGATGGAACGCGTGTCCTGGATTCAGATATTAGCAACTACCCATCTTTGCATATAATACTTGTGAATTAAGGCAATATCGAGGCAATCCGTACAGGATGTACATATGCCAATAAGAGACTGATCAATTGCATTTCAAACACATTAATGGAGAGATTCAAGCAAACAACGCCGACCAAACTTACAATTCTTCATGAAAAAATAAATTAAAAAATATATTTTATAGTTAAATTCATGATTCAATTGAATCTAAACCACTATGGAAAACCTGGAAACACTCGACGACTGTTTTGTCCTAATATGAAACCCCTCATCAGTGCATAAATATGAATCTTCACTCAAGATTCAAATTCAAGACCCTTAGTATCGGGCGCCAACACCTAATCTCTTAACCTCTGAACCAGCATCTAACAGTACCAATATCTAACTAATAGGTCCCGGGTTCGAATCTCGCGAATGGGGGAGGCGGGATCATCGATGTACACAGTTAAAATATCCTATACTAGAATGAAACAGCCTTCCAGCTCTTTCAAACATCAATTAACTCATGAATTCAACAAATCTCTACAAAACCCCCTTCTGAAAAAAGATAATAAATTTTTCAAGGAAGAAAATATTTTTCCCTTTTCCTTTCCCTCAAATTTGAATATTGAATCAATGAAAGAATAAAAATGTAGAAAAGAATAAGATGATCATAATTTATTATGATAATTTAATTTATATTCAATGTAAACATTTAATTGAACACATTCAGATTTTCTAATTAAGTGGGGTGGCGGAGTGGTGGAAATGAGGATGTGGTGGTGGTGGTGGTGGTGATGAGGTTATTGGTTGGGTTTAGAGGGGTCATTAACAAGTTCACCATTCGTTATTCTTATTCCCTTGCCTTATCAACAATAAAAGAAAGTAATTATAACAAAATCTTATCTAATAATATTGAATTAGATATATTTCAAATGAACTAACTAACTAACTAAGTAGGTATGTAGGTAGGTAAGTAAGCAAGTAAGTAGGTAGGTAGGTGGGTGGGTAGGTAAGTAAGTAAGTAAGTAAGTAAGTAAATAAGTAGGTAGGTGGGTAGGTGGGTAGGCAGGTAAGTAACCAAGTAAATAATCATAATCATAATCATCATTAAGAATAAGAGAAAAGAAGAGAAAAGAGAAAACTAAAATTCAACGAATGGATTAATTAACAAGAAACATATCAACAACATCATTCTATTGATTAAGTTTAACTTTCGAGGTGAATTAATTCAGTCGTACCATATTGAAAAATGTACTAGAAAAAATAGAAAAAAAATAATTTTTCAGCATAATTCACATACTTAGTAACTGTTATTTATTCATTTTATGATAATCCCTTGTTATGTATATGAAAAATGATTATTAAATGAAATATGGTAGTGTATACTACTGATATCGACAGATATAAGTAGTATGTATGTATAAAATGTTTGGCGGTAGAAGATTAATAAGTTCGAAGTGAGGAGAACGAGATTAGAGAATGATTGGTGAAAGAAAAATCAAATATAAGTAGTAGTATATAAGTTGTATGTAACACCAATCGAAAGTGAAATGTCTGTTTGCAAACAGTTAAAAAGATCAAAGAAAAAAGAACGGGATGATTGCTTTGAAAATGAAGGAACAATCGATTCTAGAACAATTAATGAATATTTTGCAAATGGAGAATTTACTATATGGTTCTCAGATTATTGTAATCATTTTTCATTGTACATTTAGTATACTATACACAAGTATATTATTATCATAATTAGCCTCAACAGCAGTAGGTCTCAACATACACAAAGAGAAAATCAAGATTCTTCGATACAACACAACATGCACCAATCAAGTCACACTTCACTCAGAACCTTTGAAAGATGTAAAAGCCTTTATATATCTGAGCGACATCATTGATGAACACGGTAGATCTGATACAGATATGAAGGTGAGGATCGACAAAGCAACAACAGCATATCTATCATTAGAGAATATCTGAAAGTCAAAACAACTGTCTGTTAACCAACAACAAATATCTGAATTTTCAATACAAATATCAAGACAGTTCTACTGTATGGGGTGGAAACTTGGAGATTTAAGAAAGTCATCATCCATAAGAGACAAGTGTTTATTAACAGTTGTCTACACAAAGTACTTCAGATCCGTTTGTCCAGACACTATCAGCAACAACCTACAGTTATGGGAGAGAATAAACCATATTCCAGCGGAGGAAGAAATCAGGAAGAAGTGCTGCAAATGGATAGACCACACATTGAGGAAAGCACTCGACTGCGTCACATGGTAAGCCCTTACTTGGAGTCCTCAAGGTCAAAATAGAAGAGGAAGACCAAAGAACACATTACCGCGAGAAATTGAGATAGATGTGAGAAGAATGAACAACAATTGAATAGAACTGGAAAAGAAAGCCGAGGACAGTGTGTGTTAGAGAATGCTGATCGGCGGCCTATAGTTCACTGGTAATAACAGGCGTAAGTAAATAAGTGATTATTATTATTATCATTGAAATGTTATTTACTCTGTCGTATTTATGATATTCAATTTATTAAAAAGTTTAGATTAATAACCTGATCTAATGAGTACCTAATTTATAAATAATCAGCAGTGCACGTCCACGACCCTGCTCGTGGGATTCGAACCTAAGGCCTTCAGTCTGGTGCGCGAACGCTTAACCTACTGGACCACTGAGCCGGCATTGAATGGTGTTAATGTCTAGCCTCAACCATCATCCATTGTACTGAGGTAGGTACCTGTCTCTACCCGACACGGATTAGCTCCACTGGTCACGAAATCACTGGATGCCGGTTCGGTTGTCCAGTAGGTTAAGCGTTCGCGCACCAGACTGAAGGCCCTGGGTTCGAATCCCATGGGCGGGATCGTGGATGCGCATTGCTGAGGTGTCCCATAATAGGACGAAACGGTCGTCCAGTGCTTCTAGGTTTCCAATAGTGGTCTAACATCAATCGATTCATGATCTCAATCAAAAACTTAACAATCTCCACAACCCCTAAACTGATTATGAAAAATCATTATTAAGCTATCACAAATTCATCTCAAAGTGATGTTATTTCATAATGATTAAGTTTAT